AGCGAGGCAGGGATGGATGAATTGAGGAGGGTGAATAGAGCGAAAAGGGGAAAGGTATGAAAAGAGCAAATAAATGATTAGCAATGTATAAGGACAGGGGAGGAGGAGGGGGGGGGGGGACTAAGAGATATAGAAGGTTAGAAGATGGAGAGGGAGAGGGAGGATAGAAGGAAGAGGGAGCGGCGAGGGAGCCAGGCAGAAACGACTCCAGTCTAGCATCTGGATTTTATTAGCAACCGTTGGGAAAATCTGAAAAGGAAGTTTTTTCTCTGCAAGCACGTCGGCAGCAGTGATATGCTGCACATAACCACTTCACTGCCGACGAGAGGAGCCAGGCCCTCCCAAAGGAGAACAGATGGTCGCTAGAACTTCAATACAATTACATCAATAACAGCTTTCACAGATATAAGCACTGTGTGACAGGATCCCTGCAGCTCAGAGACACAGAAGTACAACTCCTCTCCACCCTTAGCACGTCTAGCCCTGGATACATTGCCTTTAATCCATCCCCACTCCCTGCCTGTCATCAAGTTATCTTTGTTTTTCTTGCCAGGTTACCCAGTTTAAAGAAAATATTGAAACTTTTGACCTAAATCTGTTGATTTGTCAATGGTTTGCTCATGGTAACCTGATCAAAGACATGAGGGCTTTGTCAGTGCTTATTAAGGAGAACCCTCCACCCCCCACCAGCAGTTTGTTTTTTTGTTCAACATGTTTGCTCAGCCGGCACTGCATATGTACTATCACAGGGATTCTCAAGTAACATAGGGAGAAAATATGTGTTTGTGTCCGCAGCATGAGCATATGCATTTGGTGAACTTATGAGCATGTGTGCATACATCTGTGTATCTATTTGTGTACGTGTATGTGTATGTGAGTGTGTGTGTGCTTGTGTGTAAATGTATTGTACCGGCCTGTCTCTCACCCTGTCATTAGTGAGGGCTTTAAAGCCTCTGAACTCTAAATCAGCTCAAGATGAAGTAGAGTCTGGGATCCGTCTGCACACACACACACACACACACACACACACACACACACACACACACACACACACACACACACACACACACACACACACACACACACACACACACACACACACAAACACATGTTACCTGTGGTAAGGTTCAGACTTCACACTGTAAGGAAGGCATATATCAGATTATAGAAGTGTCAGACGTAAAATAATCTGTTTTTGTAGATTGCTCTAGGTTAGAGGAAGATGGTGTATGCACTTATGTGTGTTACTGATGTCAGCAGTCTTTTTCTTTTTAATGACATTTTGGCTAGTAGTGTGAAAGTGCAGGATGCTCAAGGTGCAGTATCCCCAAGTCTTAGGTCCAGGGCTACAATCCCCATGTTTTGATATGAAGGCCTGGTGGGAGGCTGGGGGCCAGGGGCTCAGGCTCTGTTTGTGTGGACTCCTCAGCGGCCTGATAGGGAACAGATGTGGGAAGGCAGGCGGCCGGGCAGCCAGCCAGAGCAGCTGGGAGAAATTAAAAACAACAGCATTCCTAGAGACATGGGGAATTACAGTGGGAGGGAGGGAATGAGGGAGGGATGTAAGGAGCGAGAGACAGGGAGAGTTTTAGGGCTATGTGGTCACTGACGAGATTCTCTGTGGAGTACAAGAGATTGAATATACGGGGGATTTAAGGGGACTGTTGTGCAGTGGTTAGCTAAAGCTAATAAGTTGCAGCTGTATTTCCAGAGGAAGCACAGGCACACATGCACACAGATAGGCATTCAGTCAACAATAGGACAGATGCCAATGTGAAAGGAGACCAAATTGTATCTGGCTTGTCATGACATGATGTTATTTATCTGTGTATGTATGTTTGTTTTGATGGGTTTAATGAAGGCAAATGTCATACATCTATAACGAGACCCCAAAAGAAAGTTCGACAAACCACTGCGTGTGTGTGTGTGTGTTTGCAGTTGTACAGTTCATGATCTGTGGTTTTGTGTGTCTCAGGGAATTGTTTTTCATCTTGTTTCATCATGGCACAAGGAGAGAGTTGAAGACAGAGAACATGTTTAGAACTCAGAGTGCAGACTGTTTCTTTGGTGAGCAATCTTTTAGCCCTGATTACGTCAAATATGCAGACATACAGCTGTTCAGAGAGTAAGATACAGGCAGCAGAAGAGAGGAAGGTTAAAATGACTGCATTGTATTGTTTTATTTTCAGGCTAATACTCAATAGTGAATGTTTGGGAAGTATCTGTATCCCGAGCAGGTCTATTCTCAGCTGTATTGATCACAAAGTGGCTCCTCTCAGAGAGCCAGATAAAAACCTGTGGGGTGAAACAGAGCAGCTTGCAGACAGGAGCATTCGTACGCTCCATACTGTACCTGGACCTTTAACCACAGGTCTGTTTTACCTGATATACCAATCTCTCTATATTCCTACTTCTCTCGGTGTGAGTGTTTCGTCCTTCAGCACAAAGCACAATGGGAGCACAGATGGCACCGGACGGGGTTGCAGACCTAGCAGACTTCCTGATGTATTAAAGTGAAATTCAGAGCATAGTGTGTATGTGTGTGCCCTGTCCCTGTAGCTGGTCAGATTAAACAGCTGTCCATAATCCCACGGTGGGAGCAGACAGACAGCACGGCCCCTTATCTTCCTCTCCTATCCTCTCAAAGAAGAGACAAAAATAGCTGTGTTGTAAACACAACATTTCACATCACCTTCTTGATCTTTTGATCACACGTGGGCCCAGTTTTGTTCACTTGAGTGTAACCTCAGACTTGTCTACTGTATATGGGAAATAAACTACTCTCTATAACACAGTCCTGCAGTACACTCTGCATACAGTGGCACAGTATATTTGATCAAAGAGGAAGTTTACTGAAACATATGGCTGCCTCTTTACAGGAAGCAGCCCACCAATGTGGCAGCACAGAGAGCTTGCTTGTGTGTTTAGGAGATCTTTAAAAGAAAATGGCTGCATCTATTTATACCAGCGCTTCCCATCTGCCTCTATCTACCACCTTGTGTGTTTATGTTTAGTGCGTCTGGCATGGGCAAAACAGCGGAGTGCCCCTCGTGTTCTTGAGGATCACTGTGTCAATGGCCCTCGTGCAGCACACTCCAGAGTGGCACTCTTTAAATACAGACACCAGCTGTTGAACGCATCTAACATGAGCTCTCAGAAATAGGCTAACACCAAGGACTGAGGCTAACTGAGGCAGGAGTCCTGTGGAGGAAAACACTGGGTTTATAGTTAGCTCACGAGGAGTGAAATAAATGAAAAACTTTATTTTGAAGTTATTAATATTATTAGTTTGTGACTACAATAGATTTAAAGTTGTTCTGATGTTTGAAAGGCCATGAGCGTTTGGAATTTCGTTTTTTATTATTAGTATAAAAAGTTGTTATCTGCCTAATAATAACCCCTTTTCTGCACATTTTTTATTTCCATATTTCAGCACAAATAATACAAAAGAGGTAAATTGTTCTCTTGTCCTGCCTCTCATATTAGAGGATTTGCTCTTTATTTGATTCTAAAGTTTATATTTATTTTATTTTTGGACTTAAACAAAACCAGATATTTGATGGCATTTTTGACGTTTCATAGACTACAGTTAATTATTTAATAAGTAAATAATCTGCAGATGAATCGATAATACAAATAACCAGTTGCAGCTCTACATTTTGCCCTGTGTTAATTGCAGAAGCCGTCTCCTGTGCACATTACAATATAAAATGTGAAATAAGCCTTTTGTTTGGGATCCTTAGAGATCAGACTAAAGTTATTTTTCTGTAATACATTGAGAGACAGGTAAAGAACAGAAAAAGAAAAACAGAGAGAAGAGATTTATCGGGGATCAATGAATGCCACATAAAGTCTATGATGTTGTTTACATCTGCTTTGCTTGTGCATAAAAGATCTTAGATTATAAATGCATTTGTTTACTACACTTAATGGTGTTGTGTTGTAGTGCAGAAACACACACATTAATGTCTAAGATATAAACCGAGCTGCATATTGATTTTTTTATTGCAATGCACACATTAATTGCGTTCCCTTCCAGTTACACACATGTACACCTACTCTAAAGCGACCTCCTCACAGGCTGCAACACCTCCCAGCTCAATTTACATTGCAGGAAGATCTGGTTCCAGCAGCTGCACCGACACTCGGACATAGACATAAAGACAGTCAACATATACATCACAAATTAACAGACATACTGCTTATGTATTCGGACTTGTGTATGCAGTTGTGTGCATGACAAACACACACTGTATGTAGGGACTGGATGAGGCCCTCTGCCACAAACACACGTGTGTGAGGCCACAGTCCTCACACACTTGTGGCCCCAGAACATCCGTGTCATGTTTTCTTCTCATGTCCCAACATCCTTTCCCTTCACGCAACAGAGCCCGGGTTGCCTTGTTTGGTGCTGGCAGGGTGTCTGGCAGAGGACAGTGAAGCTTCTGGTAGCAGGACGGAACTCTGCTGAAAGCCAGGCCACAGTGACGGACAGCAGCAGATCCAGCTGCACTTGTCACTGACTGTCAAGCCGGCTGTCTGAACTAGGGGACGAGAGGGGACAGGCGGGGAAGAGTGTGTGCATGTGAATATATGTGTGTGTGTGTGTCTGGGGGTTGGAGGTTACAGTGGAGGGGCACTGATTGGGATGTCAGAGCTACATGGAGTGTATGTGTGTAAGAGAGAGAGAGGGAAAAGAGAGGGGGGGTTCAGTGAGCAGCAGCTGAGCGAGTGAGCAGGTGTTACTGTATGTCTCCCAGGCCCATGAATCTCCAACAAGAGAGACACAATGGAAGTTTGGATTCATTTCCACTCCCTGCATTGATTTGTTTTGGCTGTTTTCATGGGGCTTCTGGTTTAAGGAAACAATCGATGGGTCCCAGGTGAAAATGTCAGTGGTCCTTAACCAGCTGTCTCCACTTTGTAAATAGGGTTTTTTTTCATACTGGAGCACCATGTTGATGATTCTCTTATTTTTTTCTCCTTCTTTCAAATGGCAGGTAGCAGAGTGCAGAAGGTTGGAACAATGCCAGATTCACCTGCGGATGTGAAAACCCAACCCAGGTCCACCCCACCCACCATGCCTCCTCCACCCCCGGCTGTTAGCCAGGCATCCAATCGTAATGCTTCATTCACCCCTGCTACCAGTAAATCAAGTAAGGACCCTTTCATTACTATTTTATGTGAGGTGCTAACTCTTCACTGATTTTGAAACCTTCCTTCTCAACATAGATGACATGCATATCTTAGTGTTGTGTCCCGATGAAAACTGTGCTCTATTGAGGTAACCAGTGGCCCAGAGGTTAATATGGATATCAGATACATCAGTGATCACTACTGTATGTCCAGGGTTTGATTCCACATTGTCATTCCCAGTCTCACTCTCCCTTTTTTCACATCAATTATCAACCCAACTCTTTTTAAATGGTCCTTAATTTGCCTTGAAAGTGAACTTGTAAGAATGCTTTTTTACTGACGATGTTTCACTGTTTTTAAGCTCTGCTAAACGCTAAAATAAAAGGATTCACTCATCAGTCTGTAATAAATTACACAATTTAATACACTTTTGAAACTGCAGGGAATCTACAATGCACCACACGGCCATTTGTCTCTCTTACATCAACTATCATGGACACTTTATATGCTTGTGTAAAGGGAGAGAAATGACAAATATGTGTTTCTTCCCTGTTGAACAAGTGTTGGAGTCATTTGTGTGTCAGGTGTGTGTCTCTACAAGCATCTATCCGTGTGTGTCTTCTGGTGTGTAGAATGCCCTTGCTAGTGGGACAAGTGTCTCTGAGCGCATGTGCGAGTGCGGCTGTGGCATTGTGTGGTCATGTGTGTCCGTGTTGTTTACCAGCTGGTTGGGCGGCGATGGCTATGGTGGCGTTGCGGTTTATAGACTACTTTCTTCCCTATATAGCAATGACAGGCCATGTTGTTTCACCTGTTGTGGCGGGCAGCCAGCAGTGTAGCTCTCTCCCTCTTCTAAAACCAGAACACAAGCGCTGCCTGTTGGGATCACATGGGTAAGTCCATATGTGTTCAGGCCCTCGACCCAAAGATTAAAGCAACAAGAAGTATATATAATAACTAGAATAATTCAGCAAGTAAACTGTATGTAGTCTTGTTTTCATGTATGTTTACAACATATAGTGGTGCAGTCCACAATAGCTCACTGCTGAGTCCTGTAAATGCATTTTTCTTTTTTTAAATGATGTCGCTTCAGCGCTTATAAAATTATAGTTTTTATGTAGTTTAAGAGCTTTCATATGCTACCATAATGAAATGGAATCATTCATTTATGGGTACATTTATATATAGTTTGATTCAAATTAGAGAAGTCAGTTTCATTTTGTCATAATTTGTTCACAAAAATGTCCAAAAAAAAGATATGGCACACTGACGAGACCGAAGATGGTTAAGAAGGGTTTTCAGTTTTCACTAAATATTTTCTCACATAAATGAAATATATACTCAGCATGCATTTGCACGTGAGTGTGTGTGTGTGTTTGAGCTATTTGTGAGTTTGTTTGTGCCGGCAATACAAGGACTATGTGAGTGATTATATATCTGAGTGCCGAGTCTATTCTAAACCTTAAAGCTGCAAATCTACTTTCAGCTGGTGGACATGTGTAGGGCCAGATTTAGCTACACACCTGCTATTGGAATAAAAGTAACACAGGCCACAGCACTATTTTTGGCACCTCTTTAACAAGTTCCTCTTATAGTTGTGTCCTATTGAGTGAGTTAGTGAGTGAGGGGGAGAGGGTGAGGAGCAGAGTGGAATACACTGATACAGGGGGAGATGGAGGGGGATGGGGGGTCAGATGGTACCACTTGTGAGACAGCTGAGGTTACAGCAAACACACACACAAACACACTCACACACAGCGCTCAATCCAACTGGCAGAACCACTGAAGTCATGATGTGCATTTCATGCCACAGGCTTCAAAGGTAAGTCTTTTGTGTGCTTTACTAATATTTCATCTTAACCACACACTCCTCTATCAGCAGGATATAAGTGCATCTGCCCTCATCACGCCCCCAGATCTGTCAGATGCCCCCAGGACTCTCAAAAACGACTGACCCAATTCACGTATTCTCTTCCTTCTGTCTTTAATCTGCAGTGCTGAATGGAAGCAGCCACTCTCCTACATCGCTGAACGGTGCTCCGTCCACTCCTAACGGCTTCAGTAATGGGCCGGCCATGTCTTCGACGGCTTCACTGTCCAACCAGCAGCTCCCCCCAGCTTGTGGCGCCCGGCAGCTCTGCAAACTGAAGCGCTTCCTGACCACGCTGCAGCAGTTTGGCAACGACATATCGCCTGAGATCGGGGAGAGAGTGCGCAGCCTCGTGCTGGGACTGGTGGTAAGTTGTGATCAGATTCATGTGGTATTACTGTGATTAATCTTTCCAAAATCACACATTTATATCCATTTATTCATTCATATATTGCATACAGTTTGCCCCCAACTCAATTTCTTAATGTTGGGCACAAAGAATAATAACCATGGATTTACATGACTAACTTAAAAAAAATCCTTTTTGAGACTCCAGCTACTCTGTAGGATAGTGTTATATTAGTTTGTCTCTTTGTGACTCTGCTAACCCTCCGTGTTGTCTTTGGGCAGAACTCCACCCTCACCATCGAAGAGTTTCACTCCAAACTTCATGAGGCCACCAACTTCCCTCTGAGGCCGTTCGTCATTCCCTTCCTGAAGGTAAATACTGATTGATGTTTATACGGCCAGTGTTCAGGACTGTGTTTGTGTGTGTGCAGACACTGTATGTATGTCTTTCCTATGTGCTAATTCATATTTCTCCCTCCAAACAGAAATAGAGAGGCTAAAAAGCAAACTTTGTATTGATTGGAAACCTTTATTGTGTTTACTGTAGAAAATGTTGAGGTGTGCTTGTGATTGTCCGTTTGCACAATTGTTGTGTGTGAGTGTGTCAGACCCCGTGGCATGTGATGAGCCTCCACATCTGGGATATTACAGCAATGGCTGCGCTCTATCAATCAGACAGTTCTGAGAGGGCTATTTGACAGCACTGACACACACACACACACACACACACACACACACACACACACACACACACACACACACACACACACACACACACACACACACACACACACACACACACACACACACACACACACACACACACACACAATCACACACACACAATCACACACACACACACACCCTGGAGGGAGAGAGAGAGACACATGGCAGAGGAAGGTGTCAGGAGACCTCTCTTATCTCATCCTGTCTCTTCATCTATCACTTTCTTTTTTCTCTCGCTCTAATCTGGCATTATTTCACTCTCACCCCACCTATCTATTATTCCAGCATGACTTTCTAGCTCACCTCTTGTCCACTTAACACGCTGCTCTACTGTTACATCAGCTCAATAAATCTATATCCTTCCTTCTACAATGTATTTCACTTTTAATCCAGAGTTTTCTGTCTTCTCTCTCAAAGGCAAACCTGCCCCTGCTGCAGAGAGAGTTGCTGCACTGTGCCAGGTTGGCTAAGCAGACCCCAGCTCAGTACCTGGCCCAACACGAGCAGCTTCTCCTGGACGCCAATGCCAGCTCGCCCCTCGACTCCTCCGAGATCATGTTGGAGTTGAATGAGCACGGCAAGAGAAGGACCCCTGACAGGTAGCGTATCTCCATTAATTACAAAAAAACACATACAAACACACTTCAGAGGCGGATACGCACACACTTTGGCAGACTCTTGCCCACGCTCTGTTTTATACGACTTATTTAGAGGTATTTTAGAATGCCAAGTGACAAGAGGAGGCTATAAATCTTCGGTGCGGGAGGCGGAAGTCTGGATATCCCCGATGCCAGGTTGGCTCTGCCAGCTGTCTGGGAGGGAGGGGTGAAATAAATACAGTGTAGGAAAACAAAGAGAGTGTGTGAGAAGAGCAAAGAGAGAAAGAGAGACAGACAGGGAAGGGAAGAGGGAGTTAAGTACTGTAACTGTCCTCAGCACAACCCAAAGACAGAGCGAAAGACCAACAGCGAGCTGTAATGGTCGCACATTTCTCAAGAAAAATGTGCTTTCTTCCATTTTCTTCCTCCTTCACTTCCTGGCACTGTCCTTCTTCTTTCCTGATCACCTTTTCACCTATCCGTCTCTCTCTATCACGGTCTCTCTCCCCCTCTCTCGATCCCTCACTTCCTCTCTCGTGCTGCCTGGCCTGTGGGCTCCCAGCAGCTGTCCATATGCCAGGGATGTGTCCAGATGGTGATGTGCTGACCGTAACACTGAGCACATCCTGAGCGGGGTTTGGGGAGGTGGGCAGTGGTGGTTTTGGATGGGACTAGGGCTTGGAGCTGAACGTGCAATCCCACTGTAATCCACACACCTCCGCCTACTGACCTGTGGTTTATACACAGCTGGGGGGGGGGGGGGGGGGGGGGGGGGGGTGGGGAGGGCGATTTAAGCTGGGGCAGGGCCTACATCGCGCCAGCTGTTCCTCTGAGTTGTCAGATACTACAGCCAGGGATGTGTACGATTATAGCCATCATACAAACACACCCACACACACACACACACACACACTAACACACACACACACACACACACACACACACACACACACACCACACACCACACACACACACACACACACACACACACACACCATCTCCATGGGGTAGCGCTGCATTTATTTGCTTTGATCCCCAGGATGATAAATAGTGATTTGCATCCAGTACCTGACTATTGCCATCCAGCTAAACAGATTAATATCAACACTCCCATTTAAACTGTCCAGATGGCTGGAAAACACAACCTCTCACACACACTGACTTAAAGTACACAGACAGTAAACATCTGCCAAACACATAGCATTCAGCCCATATTGCCCCTAAAGCCCGAGAGCAGAGTGGGAGGGAGAGGGAGAAATACTTGCAATCTAAGAGTTGGCTGAGGGATATTCAGATTAAGAGCTTGAGTTGCAGGGTGTACAGTTGGACTTGGCTTTGTTTGCTACATATGGCGTACAGCTGTGCAAAAGCTTTTGTGGGGGCCTGCCTTACTGTAACTGAACAAAAAGGCCAGAATACATGTGTGTGAGTATGTGTGTTTGCATACACCATGTGAGAGTTGTTGTTGAAAGTTTGTGTTCCTGAGGTAATCTTAAAAAAAACACTTTGAGAACACAAACACCAGAAATTAATGATATCAGTCTACGGAGGCGTGTGGCGCAGTGTATAGAGCCTTGGTATGGGGATCAGATGGTCACAGGTTCAAACCCCACTGCAGTCAGCATGTCGTTGTGTCCATGGGCAAGACACTTCACCCCAAATTGCTCCTGTGGGGATTGCCCACAGTATTGAGTATGTAAGTCGCTTTGGATAAAAGCGTCTAACAAGTAATGTACTTGTTTAGCATGTTTTTACAGCAGGTAATCTTTCGTCTGTTGATCTGATTTCAAGGGCATTCTGGTCTTTGCTGGGGCATGTTTTCCTAAAGTGTGAAGTAATACACTGGCATGGCATATTTAGCCTGGCAAAGCCATCCCATCCCACTGTTTTCACATTACTCATTGTGGTCTGGCAAGGCCATAGATGGACTAGCTGGAGAAACATGACGCACTAAACTTATTTCTCTTCCTTTTGACAAATGCTGTTACAAAAACCTCAATGAAAAAAAGTTGAGATGAGAAATTAGCCATGTCGTTTCTGGCTTTTGTTTTAAGATGCTAGTCCAGTAGGCGTCAAAAACCATTTCTGGTTCAGTGTTTATTTAAAGCAGTTAATCGATTCTTTGGTAGATTTTTGTGGAATAATGGTAAATGTGGTAGTGGAAACAGAGATTAGAGGTAGTCTGTCTCAAGGGCATGGCTTAGTGGCAAACAAAAACTAGATTGTGCAAACAGAGATTCGTTTTCCTGTAAATAATATGTATTTTCTAACACAATCTTTTGCTTAGGGGTGTGCTTTTGATACTGTATTCTGCTAGCTGCGTGGTGCTGACATTATCTGCTGCCAGGCCAATTCTTTTAAAAGGATATCGGAGTCTGGGCTACTACAAAATACCAATTATAGTCGCCTCACTGCATTAAATAGTATCATGGTAAGGCTTGCCATATACAACATCACATCTATGGTGGTTTTAACCCACTCCCCTGTCTTCCTTTGCAGGACAAAAGAGGGCTCAGAGAGAGACGGCATGCACCCGGAGCACCATGCTAAGAGGCCCTGCACCATCAGCCCCAGTCAACGCTTCAGCCCCAGCACAGGTCTTCCTGCTCACCCGCCTCCCAACGGCCTCCCCAACCACCCTCCCAACGGCCTACCACATCCACCCAACCCCCAAATGGGACCCCAACACTATCGCTTAGAAGACATGGCCCTGGCGCACCAATACAGAGACGCTTACAGACATAATGAACACCGCGACACCCGAGACAGGCACCGGCCGACAGGTAGGACGGCTGCATTCACACAAATCTATGGCTCTAAAGTCCTCAGTCATACGGTCAACATTATCTGCTGGTGTATATCTAAGTGGGGTGTATGTAGAGAACAAAGGCCAGTTGTCAGTCCGGTGTGATAATCCTTGTGGCAGTGCGTCTATATAAAGACCACATCCATACATGCCTACATGCTACAACTGTGGCAACCATATGCCTTCCCTCTGCTTTCCCAAAAGGAAACACATGAATTATTTGCCAAATTGTCTCACAGACGAGGCTATGCAAATACACAATATGTTGTTTTGTTTGAAATAAAAAATGTCAATCACTAAATTGACAACTTAACAATAAGAAAAAACAAGGAAATTAATAGGTAAAATCTATTCTGAGAACCACCAGAAATAAATGACGCTTTGAGTTGGCTGCTTGGAGTCAGTAATACAATATACTGTATAAAGTCTACTGTGTTGAAGTGCTGAATCTGAACCATGTTTTTGTCTTGTAGCAGTGCATGGAGCCCGCCAAGAGGAGGTGATTGACCACCGTCTTACTGATCGAGAGTGGGCAGAGGAATGGAAGCACCTAGATAATGTAAGTATCAGCATGATAGCTATGATTAAAGTCAACCCCCTATTGGTTTCATTCATGAAGGAGTGGAAAAAAAGAGCTAAGAGGCAAACAGGTGATCGAAGCTAATTTTAGTGGGACAGGAGCTGTTGACAGACAGAACAACCTCCGTCCCATCTGAGTGTGCAGTTGACAGACAGCTGACCATAAGAGGTCTGTGTCAGAAGGGTGAAATAACAACAGATAGACACCTATAAGGCTTTCTGGCACCCAACTATAAGAAGACAAAATCATGTTCACTCGACACACACACACACACACACACACACACACACACACACACACACACACATACACACACACACACACGCAGAGAAACAGGGCCCCAGATGGAGCTCAGGACCCAGCAGAGCGCAGCTCCAGCTGGGGAGAGCAGCTGAGACAAGAGCTGCAGTCATGGAGAGAACCGGCCAGGCCTGGACCCCGGCCAAATTAGAAACACTTCACTGAAATAAATATAGCTAACTCAAAAGGGAGGGAGGGAGTGGTGAGACAGAGGGAAGGAGGCAGAGACAGAGAGGGAAAGATCAATGGGAATAATGATATGAATTGAATGTCAACCATGTAAAACACATTTGGCAAACCTGGCCGGGTCTGGAAACAGGGCACCGTGGAAGAAAAGTGACACTGTTTACAACACGGGGGAAGGAAAGAAAAGAGAGGGAATCTGTTGAGTTGGCAGGGAACGGAGCAGAAGGGTGGAAGGAATGGGCTCGACTTTTTCATCAGCAGCCCAGCTGTTACACTATTGTTGTTGTAATGCTTTTAGACATTGAAATTCACCAACAAGCACACCGTCCATGAACAAAGACAAAAACACTCAGAGACATTCACATGCAAACATGCACGTCTGCTACGTGGTATGTCTTTAGGACGTATCAACATATTGTGTGCAGATTTACTGCAAGGTTCCAAAAGCGACCTTTGCCTTTTAAATTTGCTTTCTTCTTGTGACCTTTGACATTTTTTCATGGATTTATACAATTGTGTTTAAGTAAAAAGTATTTACTACTGTGTAGATGATGCATTTTTATCTTTTTGGGGGGACTTGTTCTTTGTGACGTGGGAATTTGCAATTTGAATTGAATGGGGCACTTCTTCCATTAATTTATCACAGAGTGACTTTTCAACTCATCAGCATCCTGTCCCATTGCAGCTCCTGAACTGCATCATGGACATGGTGGAGAAGACGAGGCGCTCTCTGACGGTTCTGCGCCGCTGCCAGGAGGCCGACCGGGAGGAGATGAATCACTGGATCCGGCGTTACAGCGACGTGGAGGAGATGAAAAAAGGTGGGAGCAACGGACAGCACTGCCTTCCTCCTCCTCCTCTTCCTCCTCCTCCTCCTCCTCCTCCTCACCACAACTCCTCCTCCAACACAGCTAGCAGCAGCGAGTCACTGCCCGTAGGAACTCCCTCGGCTGCTGAAAGGCAGACAGGCAGACAGACAGGTAGACAAACACACACAGGGTCTGTTTGGCAAAGCATAACACTTACAGCAAGATAGTGCTTGTTCAAAAGTTAGATTATGATATTTTTCTGAAAATGCACAACTCTAGATTATGCTTTGAAGCAATTCAAATCAATTTGCAACATCTTGGATCTTTAAAAAATGTATTATAACCTAACACAGCTAGCATACTTAATAATGTTATACATTTGTATTCACTTTTCTTACTCCCGTATTTACTCCTGAATTCTATTTCTTTCACAAAAATTACTGAAAAAGTGAATGATGACTTATTTTCTGATGTGATCACACATTGTTTCAAAAAAAATAATGGAAACTATAGGGTAGTCTTGTGGATGTGTGTTTGTGCAGATCAAGAGTCTTTCACTGTGTGCAACTGAAACTGAGACTGTGCCTGCTTGTTTGTTTCAGAGATCCACAGAGACTTCTTACACAGGCCTCCATCAGGATACCTGCCAGAAGAAATCTGGAGGAAAGCCGGTAAGAGTCGGGCATCCCCGTTTCTATATTGTCTCCATTATTGACCCCAGACAGACTAACAACACACACACAAACAAACACAGAGTCCCCACCATAAGTCTTTACGGCCCTCATCCTGGCCATCAGGACACACCGAGCAGAGTCCATCAGGGCAGAGGATTGGAGGCCCTCTGTGTCATTAGGGCTAAATGCCCTCCATCTGTCACCACTATGAAGGGCAACTGCAGTTAAAGCTGCAGTGAGAATGCATTCACCTGGCAGGCCGCAGGAGCAGAGACCAGGTCGGAGCTTAACTGGTCTCTGTTGACCTGAGAAACACACCCTTTTAAGTGTTTACACCTTATTTTGATTGTTTTGTAGCAATACGCACAGTACGCACACTGACTACTGAATCCAATCCAGACATTTAGATTTACAGACAAAATAATCCTGACCATGGTTATTCTTTGTCACTCAGTTTGTAGCCCAGGTGGGGGTGTTGCATTGCATGGGCCATCTTGTATGGTGAACATTAGATAAAGCCCATCCCAGGAGTGAACTGGTTCAGCCCTTGTTCCGCCCCAGTCCCAGCACTATTATACTTCAATGCCCTGCGGAGGGAAGATGCTGCTGCTGTCGGCAAAATGCTGTGCTGCATTTTCACCTGCAGAAAAAAAAAGCTCTTATTAATTGCAGTTGTTTTTCATACAGGTACTACAAGCATCCCACTATCCCCGGCACTAAAACACCTTCAAAACAGGCAGGGTGAGTAACAAACCTACATCATCTCACGTGTGTGTGTGTGTGTGTGTGTGTGTGTGTGTGTGTGTGTGTGTGTGTGTGTGTGTGTGTGTGTGTGTGTGTGTGTGTGTTGTGTGTGTGTTGTGTGTGTGTGTGTGTGTGTGTGTGTGTGTGTGTGTGTGTGTGTGTGTGTGTGTGTGTGTGTGTGTGTGTGTGTGTGGTGCTGTGCGTGCGTGCGTGCGTGCGTGCGTGCGTGCGTGCGTGCGTGCGTGCGTGCGTGCGTGCGTGCGTGCGTGCGTGCGTGCGTGCGTGCGTGCGTGCGTGCGTGCGTGCGTGCGTGTGTGTGTGTGTGCGCTTGTGCGTGTGCGTGTGCGTTTGTTGTGTGTCACCTCTATCTCAGCAGCCAGGTAGTCTGCAGCACCTCTTGCTTTTAATTAAAAACAGACACGCATTCTCTGGTCTGGTTCAGGTTGAGAGACTGCAGTGCTTTTAAAAAATAAGATCTGAAGTGTGAAAAGGAAGACAGAAAATAACACGTCTCAGGGACTTACAAAATCCCTGTGGAATTAAAACGTTAATATTGCTGTCCCCGTGTTTTCCATTAAGTGCTAATTGCCCCAGCATCTGCTATGCAGTCCCCTTGATAAGAATTAATTAAATTTGCAAAGTAATCTTAGTGGTGCATGCATTAGGCCAGATAATTGAGAAGCTCAGGATAATGCAGATAGGGTTTTGTAAAGGAGAGAAGAAAGAGGAAGAGGAGGAGGAGGGGAAAAAAGGGAGTAGAAGTTAAATGAAGGATAAAGGTAGGGAAAGATGGAATGAAGGAAAGCATTGAGACATGTATCTGAGTGTGACTGTGTGTTGACATGATTGACAGAATATTCACATTTTAGTATAAGAATCAAGCTCAGACATGCACACAAAGCCATGCGCATATACAGTATACAGCAAAGAGTTGGATAAGGCTCCCCCACTCCTATCTTTTGTTACAGTAGTTTGAAACTAGTGGAGTGGCGAGGAAAAGTGACAGTTATTTATGAGTTCCCTCAAACAAACACTGACTGCAGGAAATAGGGAGCAGTGGAGAGAACGATATCAGTCTCACCTCCTACTTGGGTTGGCCTAACACACCTGGATAGCCACTTGTGTGTCAATCGTGTATAAGGATGTCTACTACATGGCACATCAGGAGGAGGTGGAGCAAGGGGAACAATCAAATGTAATCTTTTAAAATGTTGCTGTCTTTGATGGCACAGGAAAATGAAAACCATATTAGCATATTAATGAATACTACTTATTTGGAAACCTATTTATCAGGTGTTTAAAACCCATAAGAGAAATCATGTAATGTAAATGTGTTGTGCACCATGAGGCAAGTAATGAAAGATGCCATAAAGTAATCACTCCTGCCTCTTACTAAGAGAAGACTGAAAGAAGTATCTATTTTAAACTGCCATCTGGAAAGGAGTCTACACACCTGCCTGTTGTAAAAACACAGCTTCCTCACTCATACTGTTTGTGCTTCTGCCAGAAGCTTTGTAGAAAGCCCTGCAGTGGGGATACACATGCCCATTGGCGGGGAAATTATTTACTTTTCTCTGTGCACATTGTCTAGCAAATTATAATAATATTATGTCTATGATATGATGGCAGCCATGCAAACAGGGATTCCTCGGATGTTGTTTGAACAGCCAAGTTAGTGACAAAACTTTGGAGACATCTGCTGTTGTTAGCACTGGAAATGATTGTGGCCAGACGTGTTTGAATTAATTATTGAAGTCTGGCTGTTTCCCTTTTCTGGAAGAAAGTTTTAAATCTTGGATGATGTACATCTGTTCGCTGAGATACAACAAGATGGCAGCTTAAAGAGTCTCAATAAAGAATGACACAGCAGGCAGGATGGGACGATGGCCGCATGCACTCACACCTCTCTCTCTCTCTCTCTTCCTCTCTCTCAGAGGAGGCAGTGAACGAGGTGAAGCGGCAGGCGATGTCAGAGCTGCAGAAGGCGGTGTCAGACGCCGAGAGGAAAGCTCATGAGATGATTTCAGTAGAACGATCTAAAATGGAGAGGGCGCTGGCCGAGGCCAAGAGGCAAGCCTCTGAGGAGGCACTCACAGTCATCAATCAGCAGGAGGACTCCAGTGAAGTGAGTATCACAGACACCACCCCACATTTCACCTCATTCTCCAGTGTCTTGTTCTTAAATCTAATTTCACCTTCTTGATTTTAAAGGCTGTAAAACAAAAATGATCTCAAGATATCTGTGAAGTAAATTAAAGTAAATTATTTTTCAAAAGTTTGTATGAGGCTGTCTTTAAGATATAAACAGGATAGGTGCACAACGTCTACCTGAACAAAAGCTGCTTTACTCACAAGGCCTTTACTTTATGCTAAACAGCCTCGTCCTGCATTAGGAGAGTGCAAAGATTAAACAACAAAATATCTAATAAACACAATGGCCAAGCGTGAGAAAAAAAAGTTAAAAGTTCTTAAATATAACAGAAAAGCTGATCCCTGATGCACAGGAAATAATCTGCTCAAAATGTATTGAACATAGTTTGCATTGTTGTGCAATACATAACATTTCAAAAATCTATAAAATATGTAAGTTAACGTAGTTCAGGTTTGGTTAGTTTACTGCATGATAGAAACGGGGTCCCTTAAGGAAAAGGTTAAGAACCACTGCTCAAATTCTTCACTCATTTTTTATCGCTACATCTATCACCATAAACCTTGTTCCCCTTGTCCCTTAAGTTATCCTGTATTGTGAAATACACACAGCTGGTTGCTCTTGGTTTGTTGCTACACCATGTTGTCATGATTGTTGAAGTCCAGTTGTCAGTGTAAATAAAAGCAGACAGACCCAGGTGGTCGGAGAGCCAGGCGTAGAGCCTTTACAGAGCAGTTGACCACCACCTGCTGGTTACACAAACTACAGGCTTTGGACCAGGACTTAAAGCCTTAAAATCCAATCCCTGTGCAAAGAGTAACAGAAAAACCCTTAATACGTCAAAGATTATAATGGACTATTTTATAAAGTAATCACTTTTTTTAAGGTTTCATTATATTTATGTTAGAAATATTTAACTGTGCTTTCCTGGGACAAAAAAGAGACTTATTTTTATCAACCCACTCTCTCCCCACTGTCTCACCAGAGCTGCTGGAACTGCGGGAGGAAAGCCAGTGAGACGTGCAGCGGCTGCAACACGGCTCGCTACTGCGGCTCCTTCTGCCAACACAAAGACTGGGAGAAGCACCACCATGTCTGTGGTCAAGGCCTGCAAGGGATGCCAGGGAGCACCCCCTCCTCCTCCACAGTGTCCTCCAGTGTGCCTCCCACCCACTCGGAGAGCACCCCTCCAGGAGCCTTGTCCTTGGCAGGCCAGAGTAGTGTTGTGGGAGGGGCTGGCAGCGGCAGTGGAAGTGTGTCTGCGAGTCCCAAGGAGAGCAGCTCCAGCAGTGCCTCTCGCTCCACAACTCCAGCCACCCCCGCCCTGCTGGATGCCACTTCTCGCTGACGTCTGACGCTTGTCCCCTCCCTGAATACTGATGCGACTGTGCTCACACTCCACACAAAACCAAACTGAGGAATCTTCATCGCACACTGCTCCCTTTCCTCTCCCCCGACTACTTATTTCCCTGTTACTCTAAGCTCTTCTGGGAATCTTCTCACTACCTGATGATAGACTTTAACCGTTCATCTTTCCCCAAAAAATAATTGTTCTGTCTTTGTTCTTTCACAACTACAGCCACAAATACAAAGATTCCAGCCTGGCGTTCAGTGTAGTGAAAAGCATGAAAAGTGTCTCCTATCTGAGTTCAGTCACAGACTCATATCGGATGTGTTTGATGAAAATTTGACTTGAAGATGTGCCCTAAGTTATTGAACACGTTGAACCCTGTCTACACAAGACAAGTGCTTTAGTAAGGCAATATTAATAGGGGGATGGCTAGGCTGATTAGCACTTGGATTGGATTTCCCTTTAATTTAGCACCAATGAGAGAACAGTAGTCAGCCCTGAGATGTGTACTACCAGTGCAAACAGCTCGCTGATGTGGCACTTATTCTAAAGTGAATATCTTTTTTCAAAGAGACGAGGGAAGGGGAAAACCGTGATGCGACTTATTCCTCAAAAACACAGCTTAGTATTTATTCAAATGTTTCTTTCTGGCTTTAAGGTAAAACAAAGAAAAGTCCAAATATTCTAAATGAAGAATAGTAGTGATGGTGATGCTGATGTTGACGATAGTAATGATATGAAAATAAATTAATTTTAAACTGCTAACTACCTTGCTAGCGAGCCAAGAAAAATCTACACCGGACTCACCTCTCTATACCATTGTGAACCCAAATGAATTCAAAGATGAAAAATAACATGATCCAAACCTTTGTATTACACTGCCAAAGTGAGTAAGTAAGCGATAAGGAGAAGCACTCATCTTATAACCAAACGCAAAGCAACATCACCTCCTCAGCAGATAAGTCAGCCCTGAGAGGACCAGGCTGCAGAGGAGCTGCAGAATGGGAGATATTCAGACATTTAAAAATACAAACTGTGACCTGCTTTGATCTGCAGCTGCCTCCTGCAGTCTGGACAAAACTATAACAATCCCTCAGTGACGGCCCAGACTCGTGAAAATGGACAATGCTGTGAACTTGCCTACAAGAAAGACTTAATTCAATGGATGGAAACCCTGCCACAGTGTGATTTTTTGAATGGTAATTGAGAGGACAAAAAGAAAAAAAGAGGGAAGTCAAAGCTACACAGCCTCAAAGAAGGTGACCATACAAACACGGCGTATAGGAACTGCCAAAAACCTCAAAACAAGCTTGAAAACATTGTTTGTGAGTCATTTTCTAAAGCTCCACAACGAGGAGATATTTCAAGGAATTGCTGTTACCTTTACATTCACTCCCTCCTTTTCCAAAGCATGATAAACTGATGACAGAGCCTAGTGAAGGGCGTGTAGACTTGGTTCTCCTCTCTCTTTCTACCTCCCCTCACCCCACACCTCCCTTCTACGCTCTTCCCCGACTTCTGACTGGCCCTATCCCTGGCCTGCTTCGGACAGAGCCTCTGAGCAGTCACGTGGGAAGGGTTCGAACCTGCTTGTAGATATTGTTCCTCTTTTCAAATTTCAATAATGTCTCTTGTCGCTGATGTCCACATGTGCTGCCCTTGTGTATATCCAGGAACACGGACTTTGTTTTGGTTTTGTTACTTTTCATTTGCCTCCTTTACGTTCGGGCGGAGCAGTGAAGTCAGAGCAAGGAGGACTGTTGCTAATGAGAGGAAGCCCCACATTGTACTTATTGTTTGATTTGTTGTATCTATATTATTGAGATGAAACCCCTCTTGTAGAATATTTTGTATTGCTCGCATTGTAAGACAGTGAGAGGACAGAGGTGCAATATGAAGAGAATTCAGCTACTGAATGGAACCTCAGCAACTGCCCATAGGGTGTCATATAATATAGATACATATAAATATATTTAAAGTAACATCGGTAACTTAATGTGAATGTACATAGTATTTAAAGAGGTCCAAAAATGTGTTTGCCAAATAACAGAAACCTTTAAAGTTTAATGTCCAGAATATGATTTTCTCACAGTACATTTATTTCTACACATTTCTCAAATGTCCTTTTCTTTCTCTCATACCATTTTAACCCTTTCAATTTTCACTCAAATCAAAGTGTCCCTGAGTGTAGGAAACTGTTGGTAACAGGGGTAAAGTGTCATAATGCAGCTGAAAATGGATGAAAACAGATTTAAGGGTGAATGGACCCTACAAAACTTCCAGAACATATTTTGTATTAGTTTATTAGGCCTTAATTTACAATATTTGAGAAATCCAAATCATACTGCACCACAAAAGACTTTTGACAAAATTAATCAAATGTATTTTACTTTAATCTGATTATTTTATGCAATGGTAAAATAATCCATGCTTCATTCACCCCAGGTCAGTTTTCATCCTGCAGGAGGGGCCTCAACAGTGTATCGATAAAAAAAAGCCCAACTATATTTAATAGTTTAAAAAAAAAGGAAGGAAATAGTGGTGGTTCAGTTTCAAATTTGGATAATTCAAAAATTATCAGGAATTGTAATACTTATATATTCTATTATGTCAAGTGTTCAGTTCCTGCCACTGACCCTCTATTTCTTTTAGTCCTCATCATCATATCGTGTGTGAGTGTGTGTGTGTGTGTGTGTGTGTGTGTGTGTGTGTGTGTGTGTGTGTGTGTGTGTGTGTGTGTGTGTGTGTGTGTGTGTGTGTGTGTGTGTGTGTGTGTGTGTGTGTGTGTGTGTGTGTGTGTGTGTGTGTGTGTGTGTGTGTGTGTGTGTGTGTGTGTGTGTGTGTGTGTGTGTGTGTGTGTGTGTGTGTGTGTGTAGGAGTATTTGTTTCACCCAAGGTGCAGGATAAGCCATTACATAATATGCCAGTATTAAGCTACAGTAAACCTCTAAGCTAATTTTGATACCTGATCTTTTTTTTATTTTAACCGATTATTGTTTATTTCAAAAGATGCATGTTGGGCATATTTTTCTCAACATTTTTTTCTCCAACCTTCTTCCATATATTTCCACATGCGCAAGGAATGTGATCACCTCTGTTTAACACAAGTATGTAAAGCCCCAGACCTTTACTTACAGTAAAGCAATAGATGGCATGCAGCAGCCTTTGTCAAACAAATGTAAGATGGATAATCGTAAACTCCCAAAAGTTGGCTTCATTTACAGTTGGACCACAGACCTTTGTTGTAGCAGTGACTGGCATAGGAAAATTGTTCATCAACATCTCTACTAAGTGAATAATTTTATTTGGACTATCTGCAATACATAATTCAAACTGCAAGGTACCCCTGCATCTGTGTGTAGCATTTATGTATGTGTGTTATAATTACTTGGATATGGTGTTGGCCTCAGCCTTCTTGTGTCATTTTCTCCTTATCCCCAATGTCTATTTCCTCCACTTCTACCCCGCACCCTCTTTGTAACACCCCTTCACACTATAGCTACCTCCTGTGACCATACAGCTAACCACCAGGAGAGGTTGACCTGGACTTTGAAAAGCTTGGCTGAGAGCAGACGTGGAAACGCACATTCAAAGCAATCATATATATCTGTCTAAACATTTTAAAATCAAAAAAAGTGTTGAAAGGAATTGCCATTACTCATGATGTGGAGGAATATGTATTCCCACCAGACCTCAGCTGCCTGTTTGATCACCTTCCACCAACTGAACTGCTGGGATTTAGTAATAGGTACACATACAGTCAAACATGCATATTACCAAACTGAACACTCAACCATTGACATGCCATTTGTTGTCCAAAACCAATAAAAGCACAGACCAAAGTACTCTATTGCCATAATAGGCTTTGACACAGTGTGTATTGACAGACCAGAAATAATAAGGTTAGAGCTCCACTACACCAGGTAACCAAAGTGTCTGAAATACACACAATCAGGGCACAAGAGTGAAGAGCATGCTTAATGAACCGGCTGACTTTCAAATGTGTAGAGTTATTTTTCAAGCAATCAAAGCGCTTGTTGTCTACATATTGACTAGTGCTTCTATAAAAGATAATAGAAGCTTCTCCTTAAGAAAAGCCTACTGATTGCGTGTTCTTACAGTTACAAAGCCTTGCAGAGATAAAAATGAATGCATGGTGGGTGTGTGTTTGTGTGTGACTGGTGGTGTGTGTGTGTGTGTATGTTTTTGTAAAAGAAAAAAAAAGAAAAAACGTTTGCTTCTTGTCTCTGTACAAACTACTTGAAACTTTCAGAGCTTTAATGAAACATCCCAGACAGACTATGGTGGCATATCTATTCACAATATGTAGCAACAGCTTTGTGCAGTACAATACTGTGTTTGCGTACAATATTCAAACAACATTTAAACAACATTTAATGGCAGTTCCATTCAACTCCTCAATGCTTTTGATTGTGCGTCCTTGTCTGCAAGTAAGCCCTTAGAAAAACTAAACAAAACCAAACATAGTAACCACTTATAAATGACCAAAATACAACCAAAAGATACAACTTTTCTTTTTAGATTTCATGTTGGTTAAGGGATTTGTGTTATTGTCCCGGCATTAGAACTTCAACACGGTTGATTGTGTGGGTGTCCTTCACTGAGATTCTCCCTCCTGATTTCATTGAAAAGGAAACAAAAGATCAATGTTCTGTTCAGCTGGGTGCTAGCTTCCTTAATTTAAGAAACAAACGAGATTTGTTATATACTTTTCTCTGTACAGATAATACAGATGGCAAATGCATAAGGGCTCTGCTTTTGTGAATATTATCCAAGGGTCTCCGAACACTTTACACCACCCACTTTTCTGTTTGTTCTACTATGTACATGATATGGGCAAAACGCATGTTTAGAAAAGGCAAAGAATGGCAGGTTGGCATTTGTATCTACTTACCCCAACCAGTTACTCTACCAATGAAGTTTCAAGACTCATCTGATGACGCATCCTTCCTGTGAAACAGGCACTGATGAAGAAAGCTAAAGTGGCAAACAGTGGGTACAGCACTTGTTTTCCCTAAAGCTATGGCTCAGGATGGTCCTGTTTATACCTTTACATAAATGGAAAAAAAGGTTTATGTTTTTCTATGTGTAGGGAGGCATTCTATACTGTATTGTGCAATACATTATTACAGAAAAAACATTTTTCTGTTGGAGAGGTTGGCGCCTTGAAGATCTTTCTCCTTTTGTTTTATTTCCCTCTTCAATAAGGTAATGTTACCGTTTTTAGATGAAGTTAACTGTGCCAGAAGAATTCAATTCTGATTTGTATTTATTTCTTGCATGCTTTCCTCCCTGTTGCTAATACCGCTCTTTAACTGTTCGCTCTGTTGGATGTGTGAAGCTGTAAAACATTCTAATTCAGGTTATTGTCTGTGTTGAACAATGTAACTGTGTAATTAAAACATGAAATGAAGTATTCATCACTCTTATTGCTTTTCTTCTTTAAAGGGGCTTTCTAAATCTGGCAAAGCTAACATGTTATGGCTGCCGGATTTGGCACCCCCCCTCTGTACCTTTGGCCAGGATGGTCATAATCTAACCAAAATCACACTTTTGTTAGTTATTCCATGCACTCTAGTTAAAGCAAACAAAAGCATTTTACTCGGAATGCATTTTCTGAGATTACAACGCCTCAGAAAAGGAAAATGATCCATTGTTATTAGTAAATCATTACTTGCACAATATGTAAACTTCAGTCATATTAGTTCCACACCTTCTGTCTACAGCAGGGGTGCCCACACTTTGTCTGCTTGGGAGCTACTTTTAAAATGACCAAGTCAAAGTGATCTACCTACAGGGCCGCCCCTGCCCAAAGTCATGTGGTGAGGCCCTCTGTGTCACGAGCAGGGGGGGGGGGGACTGCGAGCACCGGAACCTTGCAGCGGCGGAGAAACTGTGGCACGCTTACACTAATTGCGCCGCATTTGCGCTTCTGGGGCCTCATTTATAATGCCTTGCGTAGGATTGACGTGGGAAGGTTGCTTACGTAGTACAAAGCAAAAAAATAGGTACAGAAATGTTCCGACATTTTCCGATTCACAAAACATTGCGTACCGGCGAGGGAAGTGCGTACGGCACTTCCTACGCCTGTTTCCCTTTATAAATCACAATCGACTCGTAACGCCCATATTTGCCTATAAATAGTCAAAGAAACGCCCATTCATTCATTTTGACTGACTGCATGAAGAAGATCGCAGGAAATGACGATAGAACAGCTAAAAAAGACATCTCACACCGGGTGTTTCTCAATCGCGAGTAAAGCTGCTTCAGAGCCACTATTTCAAGCATACTACGTCATCGAGTGCCGCCGAAGTACTGTTCCAATCTCCAGCATACTTGGAAATCTACCGAGCCCGGCGTACTCCGTTTGGAGAAATATCGAGGCTGCACATGAGTAGACTCCGCGGTCTTAAAATCCCCACAATGCTTTGCGCACGGACCAATTTCCCCAAATCTGTGGCGGAAGATGTAAGGCGGGGCCTCTCATATGACGCACACCTGCACACTTGCTAGCCTGTTCCACTCTTTGTTTTCCGAATGGCAGGAAGTATTCTTGCCTCGCTTCTGAAGCAAGATGCTCGGCAGACATGTGCTACCAAGCAAGCGTACTCGCGATTGAGAAACAGTGTGTCAGATTTTGGTTATTTTGGGGAGGTCGAGATAAATCATATTGTTTGGTGGATGCAGTTTGAACCAGAGTAGCAGCATGGAGGTCGGATCGTCACCAAAATAAATAAATAAGTGGTCCGAAAAAGGTTAATGACAAAAAAAATACACATAACCTTCCTCAGGCAGTGTGTTTGTACCGGGGACAGGAGACACCCCCTTGATGAGAAACTGTAAGAAATGATCGGGGAATCCCTCCGGAGTGGAGTCATGACGACTGGATCTGAATTATTTTGTTGTATTTGGTGGTTTGTGTTCCAGCTGTCGATCAGCAACTATATATCCATAATCCACCAGTTAAAGGAAATACAATGTGTTGTGTTATATTAGCTGTACAATTTACCACATATGGTGTTCTTAGTTTCCATACCTCCTGT